CTTGATAATTTGAACAAAGCTAATTACTCTCCTCATTCTTGCTATTAAATACTAAGGAAACTAACATACCTTTATAGCTTAACAAACTTCAGGGAGTACTCCTTGACCTTCATAGAGCATTGTTTAATCTTGATGAACTCCAAAACCTTGGCTTTCCTCTTCTCCCTGGGGAATAACCTCTCTAGAAATGTTGTCTTGAACAGCTCCTAATTGACTGGCACTCTACCCAAAACACGGCTATCATGCGACATCTTGCACCAAATGTGTGCAACATCCTTGAGCTAATGGGAAGCCAGCTCAGCCTTTTCAGTATCTGTGTCCCCCATTGCACCCAAAATCTTATATACTTCATCCATAAACTCTTGAGGATCCTCGGATGCCTTAGACCCTGTGAAAATAGGAGGGTTCATCCTCGTGAAGTCTCGCAGCCATGCTGCGAACCGAAGTGTTTTCTATCTGAACATCCTGCCGGTTGACATGGGAAGTCATAGCCTGAGCCTGCATCATAATGTCCTGTGCCATTTGAGCCAGAGATGCCCTCATTTTAGCATCAGCCAACCCAGCTAGGTTAACAGGCATGGCCAGTCCTTCAGTTGGAGCCTGGTGTGGATTCTGATTACCCCTAGCAGCTGCTCCTCCCCTTCTCTGACCCTTAGCTCTCCAAGTGTTCATTCTCTGAAAAACAACAAGGATTGATGGTAGGCACACTCATAACACAAAGAACTCAGACATTAGGAAAAGAACGATACGCATCATGCAGTTTCTAATCTTGGTGCACTTTACTACCATGACATGAAAACTTCTTAATGTGGTTGATGTGAACTTATATTCCTCAAAATTGAACCTAGCACTTTGATACCAACTTTTTCACGATCAGAATCTAGACCCAGAAGAGACCAGTGTTGTTGACCTCTAAGAAATTGAAGACTAGCCTACTTACATCAATCATACTTTACATAGGTTAATTTTAGTGGAAATTTTGAAACTTTTTGTTTCTTAGACATACTTATAAAAATATTCTCATAAATACGTAACTGTTCCAAATCCACCACCTAACATAGAGAGAAAAGTAACTGAAAAAAATAGTTCGATTCTTATTAAGTGTATAATTGCAAAAATGGCACCAATACATAGTCTGAATAAAATAGAAAAGAAATGCTAGTGGAACATGCTCTACTAGATCAACTCTAAAACTAATCTAGAATATAAAACAGCAGCATCCTCGAAAGCATTAGGACCTACCAGAGCTGGATGAATGATGAATGTACGGATAACTGCAAGGAAGATCCTTTAGCTCTATCATCCACATGCAAGAACGCACCAAGGACATGCATGAGAAAGAATAGTTCTTTTCTAACAACATGATTTTTGGAAGTCAAGTCAGTGGACTTGCAAATTTGAGATTAGGAAGGTTTCCAAATTTGGATTAGGAAAGTCAGTGGCCTTTCTTGATTTGGAATAGGAATGTTATGCCATGAGAATAACATATGTCATAATACTTTTCACATTTTCATACAACACATAACATTTACACATATCACATATCATATAGCATACAACAAATTTTGCATGTAGCACATAACTTCTTTAATATCATTCATTCATATGCCATGAGACCTTGGAATCATGGACTTAACATCAAGACATCCCAGAAATGAGAGTTCAACATATGGTACCTCAACTAGGGAGTCTTCATTAGCAAACATAGTATCTACTTTGTTTATTCATACGTAATCCATTTTATTTCATTCATAGGCTAGTTTAAACACCAGATATACCTAGGATGTACTTTAAGATTTTCATTAGGTTCGTTGTGCAATGACCAAGAATGACCTAATGTCATTAATTGAATCTAACTCACCTTTTGATTATCCTATCTTAAAAACTTTGGTATCATTCATTTCATTATGTGCATCATTTGAGGCTAGTATAATTCGTTCATTGGGAACTTTAACTTTAACCGACATAGATTATGTGAGAATCATAAAATCCAGTGTCTCCCCACACAGAAAAGTGGTGGAATCACTGGTCAAAATGACCCATAACATGCTAGATTACATGGGAATTTAACCCTACTAGATCCCTATGTTGGTTGTATATGTTCAAAGACTATGAGATGTAAGGAGACCCGAACCCAGGAAGCCGGACAGTCTCATATCATTAGAGTTACGTGATCCTTCGGCCTTCCGAAAAGAAGGCATCACCGCTCATATCTAGCCTATCGGTGCTCAGTATGAAGTTCCATATCATTCATCTCATACGTCATGGAAGTTGGATTAGAGTGTTCATAGAGACTGGTCTCTTCATTAACTTTACACTCTCATTGTTGAGTACGTTTTGGTAAGATTTTCTTAGGCTCATTTGAGATTGCTCCCATCTTTTACATTAGCCTCATATCATGTTGTCACCACATTCATTAACATTAGCACATTTTCTCTTCATAATTACTTATCCCTTTTTAGGTGAATGTTCATTTCATCCTATGCCCATGCACTTGGCCATTTAGTCTGTTTCATACTCTTACTTAACCCTTCTAGGGTTTCATCATTTCATTGTTCATTTCTTCATATTCCAATGCGCTTGGAAGGAACCCAAGTTCGAACCCCTTGGACAATTCTTACATTTTTCTTTGACTTTATTTTTAGTTTTCATGACATTGGGACCCTAGATCGAGCCCTAACATAAATATTTTATCTTTAGTTTTCTTCTTGGATTCTCTTCTTATTTAACCGAAGGGTTGTGGGATCGATTCCCCACATCCCATTTTATTTATTTATTTATTTTAATTTATTTCTTCTTGTCCAATTCACAGAGACCAAGAGGTTGTGGGATCAAAACCCCACAGCCTCTCTTTATTTTACTTCGATTTTTGCAGCCTACCTAAGGTCATGGGTTCAATTCCTACTCCTCACAATTCTTTTATTTACATTTTTTTTCTCCATGAATACTGCTACAGCTTACTGATGGGGGTGGGATCGATTCCCCACGAACCCATATTTAGTTTTTTGAGTTTTTCTATCCTCCCCCTTTACTCCTAATTCACTACTGACGAAGGGGTTGTGGGATGGATCCCCCACAGCCCCATCCCTTTCTCTTTTTTTAATTACTACAGGCATGAGGGATGTGGGATCGATTCCCCACAAAAACATTTTAATGTTTTCTTTTCTTGAGAATTTTTCTAGACCCCGCCCTAGTTCGAGCCTCACCTGGCTCACCCCTTTTTAATTTATTTGTTAAGGTATGCCTTAGTAAGGTCTTGGGTTCGATCCTTGCAGAACTCACCTATTTTGTTTTCATTTTTTGAGGTTCAAAATTTCTAGAATTTATCTACAGTTTATCTCCAGATTCTGGAAATTTATTCCATGATTTTATGCATCATTTTATGGGTAGAGGAATGATTTGGTGATTTGTTTTAGCTAGATTTGATAGCATTTAAACCATGTAAATATCACGTCTAGGAACATCTACTCACACATTAAACACAAGCGATTCCATGTTATTATCATGCTAAAATATAATCCAAAGTCATAGTAACAACTTTGCAGACATACGTTCATGTCTACATTCATATTTTTGAAAGACACAAAAACATAGGCACATAATCATGAACACACACTTGAACTGAGATCGTAACAACACACACAGTATCCTTAAATTCTACTAGCAAACATACCAACCTAAGATCATTGGGACCTAGTGACAGGGAACTTGAAAAGGGAAAACAATCCTAGTTTTGGATGAATAATATGAACCTTAAGGGGTCTCTTGGTAAAGGGACCAAGAGGGAAGAAAAACCATACCTTAATTGATGTTCAAACATTGAAGTTGCTGCCCAAACCTTCCTCCAAAAAAACGTCTAACTTACCTAAAGTTTCACCACCAACTCGATGGAGATCTCCCTTGCCTTAACGTGTTTGAATAGCTTACTTTCTTAGATTTTTTTTGAGATTCTTCAAATGTGAAGAACATTTGTTATATTTTCTGTTCTTCACGTTAATTCGAAAAGATAAAACAATAGATTTTGAGCGTGAGAATTTGATAGGCGTGAGAGAGTAAAACGTGTGATGTTTTTTAGGCTTAGTTAATGACTTAGTCAATTTAGGACTCTCCTTAATACTTAAAATTTGATTTAATTAATTATACGTGAAAGGACCATTTTCCCATAAAATTTCAGATTTTAAATAATTAATAAATCACTGTAAGTATTTATCCTATTCATTTTTAGGGTTGTTACAATGGGTGGGAAAAATATAATGCAAATGAAGCATCCCGAGGAAACTCGGGTATCAATTTTAATGCCTTTTGTTGAGAGAATGATAAGGGAGATATTAAATACGTAGAAGGAGCAAGCAGAGAGAATACTACCAATCTAAGTGATCATCCAAGCATTGCAAACATTCACAACATCAAAAACTTATCATTCACACTGACACAATACTAATGTACAAGGTAATGGAAGGGTAGTGTGCATGTCCCTGGATAATTGTAGTAACAGTGATGGAAATACGAGGAATTTTAGAGGAGAAACTATTTATTTTCAACACCTTCTAAGAGAAGTAAATAAATTAGCAGATCATTTGTCAAACATAGCTATTGATGGAGAAGAAGTTGCACATTCACAAGTTTTAATAGCATTGAGATTGATGGGAGGAGAATCATCAACAATGACAAACTACTATGCCCGTACTTAAGAGTATCATCTTTAAGGGGATAGAAGTTAAGGAGAGGACACAACATAAATTTTTCATGAAGAAGAATATTTTCAAATCCCTTTGAGGCAACAAAGAGGAAAATGTTATTTAAGCTACTAAAAAGGACTTGGAAAAATGGAGGATATGGAGTCAAGAATTGAACTATTAAACCTAGAGGAAGCCACAAACAATAGTAAAGGGTGACAGAGCAGAGATTCCCATCCACGTCTTCACATGATCACCTGTAGAAAGATTGATAGAGGACACGCGAGGAAAAGGATAAGGAGAAAAATTAGTGAGAAAGTGTACCAAGTGAAGGGATTTTGTACTTTAGACAGGATCCAATTGTTAAAAAAAATAAGAACAGTCCATGGAACCTGAAAACGCAATAACAAAGAAACTATGAAGTCGGTAGGAAGCAAGGAGGACAAATTCAGAAACCAAGATACTTACTATTGTTAGCTAATTCTTTCCATATCAATAGAAGGCAGAGGGATAGATTAATCTAAGGAGGCAGCATTCCCAAGTGAAGAAATAAAATCAAAGAAAGAGAGGAGAAAGCGGCGAAGTGATAAAGATCTGTGCATGAGATCTAACTATGAAACCCTACCAAAGAATATATATACTTCACTATTGTGTTTGGTTTGGGCTTGGGTTTATTCATTTCCTTTTTTGATGATTTTTTGGTGTTTTAGTAATGGGCCCTGGAGGTGTAACATTATTTTTTGTTGTTTTCTACAATGACATGAATAAAATGCAAAACTTTCACAACAAATATCCCTTTTAAATACTAAATTTAACTATTCATAAATAGAAAAAAATTAATGATAAACAATGAATCTTGACCTTAATGTCTTGAAAATTTAAAGATCTTGATATTAGGTATTTCAAGATCTTCACATTTCACACAGTTAAACTCTTAAATTGTCAATTACAATTCAGAAGTACATATATCACACACAGAGAGCGTACACTTATGTTAAGTTGATTAAATTTTTTAACATTTCCCACACATGTGGAGTACCAATTATTTTTCGTATGCTTCAAGATTATATGACAAGCAACGAAACTCGAACGCAAACTTTTGGCGGTGATCATCTCATCTAAAAGCTTAAACTATTATAGAGATTATATAACTATATATTTACTTAATTACATTTTCATCCTTCGGAGGTCCTAATCTAGTCTATTGGATTAATTTATCCAAATAGGGAACTGGAGGATTTTCTTTTATTAAAGCCTATGAATGGACTTGCTGATCCAATTTGAAACCTAGCATAGTTTAACACCTCAAATAGAGACAGATCTAAAATTCAAATTTAAGGAGTTGGATCTTTAAATTTTTAGTTATGTGTTCGTTGTATTTATGACTAAGTGTTCAAATAATATATGTTGTGACATTTTGATAGATCTGTATACAACAAACACATACTCTCACACACATGCACGCGCACACGCACACACATATGTGTGCATGTGCGCACACACACGTGTTGCGCATCGATCTCTAATTTTTACTTATCGTTTTTATTAAAAATAGTGAATAAAAAGTATATTTTAATCAAAAGTTATAACATTTAAAAAAATAATTATCATTACCAAAACAAAGAAAGTTTAACATTTATTTCTTCTAAGTAACTTTGAATTAGTTTCATTAGATAAATATAATTTATTTATCATGTTGAGTGAATATTCTACTACACAATTAATGGTAAAATAATTGCATGAAAATAACTTTAATAATTATCAACCAAACGTAAAAGAATATATACTGATAAAGAGTAAAAAATGGAGTAAGTTTAGACAAATATATTATAAGGAAATACAATAGTTATTTCCCAAAAGATCGACATGGTGGTCTCATCAGAGTTCCTATGTTTGCACACCCAGGAAATATTGTAGTTCAAACAATAACATATTTTGATTGAGCGTCTGAGCAGATGATCAATTGTTTCTATAAATAAAATTTTGAACAAAATTTTAAAAACTTTATGCACGTATTCTAAAGTTGTACTCTCTCCTTTAAATATACACAATATATAATGCTCTTAATAAACCTTAAAACCGGATACACATTTCAAAATAAATCATTTTCACATACTAAGTTTTCCTAAATTGAATTATCGTAATAGGTTATTATGAAATTTATGTGGTTAGCGATTAATGTTTATTATACAGAATTACCTATTATCATATCATGAGCAACATGATCAAGTAAAATATTTTTACACCATCTATCAATGGTGTTTGCAACTTTTTTTTATAGGATAATCTAAATTTGAATCCTTTTATATATAGATGTTATCAATACTTCATATACAAAGGAATTTGATAGGTTAATTTCTATGAAATAATGGTGAATTATTTTTAGGTTTAGTGGTTAATGTTCATAATAGAGAATTACTTATTGTCACATTATAAGCAATATGATCGTGTAAAATTATTTTACGCAATCTATGCTTGAAGTTTACACTTTTTTCTTTAATAAGTTAATCTCGATTTGGATCCTTGTAATATAGATGTTAACAATACTTGATGTATATTGAAGGTGAAGAGGTTAATTTTTATGCATTAAATATTAATAGTGAAACATTTTGTTACACAATAGTATAAAATTAATTAATTGACAGATCTATTTAACAAGGATTAAATGATAACGTAGAATAAATACTTAAGTAATTTAATATAACAAGTGAAAACGGACTATTGTAATAAAGTTTAAAATTACTTAATTTTGTTTTGTTTATATATAGAGGATTTACATGTCCCCTAATTCATGCTTGAGCAAGGGAAAGAATAAATTTAAAGCCAAGATAGGATGCTTGTAGATGTACATATATTTGATATTTTAATTATTATGAATTATAATGGTGAATTGATGATACAATATATACTATTAATTTTGACGGTAAGTTTATATTGTTTTATGTTTTAGAGTTTGGATATGAATGCTACTAATTAAATTATTTACTTAGACATAACTAACAAAATATGCTACTTTTGTTTTATATTATTAGTAAAACATTGTACTATGTTAAGATCAGATTGAAAAAATTTACATAGATACAATTATAGATAACTTTATTTATATGATTTATATATAAGAAAGTACTGGTAAAATATGTGTTGTGTTCTAAACACTTCTTAAGAATGTTAAAGTGAAAATTTCAATTAACTTATATTCATATAAAAAGAAACATTTGTAAAAAATATGATTAGCATAAGAAAATTCACGCAAAAAAGAAATAAAAAAATTAACTTGTAAATTGATGTTCTGTAAAAGAGAAATTGTCTGATATGAAGTATATGGGTAGTCCTCAAACAATATTTTTTAATTCTAATGTATAACTTGAGCTTTTTGTATGTATAAGAAATAAAAACTAATTAGTTTATTGTGAAAATTAAAACTAAACAAAGACTTGTATTGTATTTACGGTACTTTCTTTATGATATATTTACGATATCTTGTCTTCTATATATTTCTATCATTTTGTTGAAGTATGGTATTATACAATTTTTGTGGATTGACGTCTAACTCAAATGAAGAATTTTTTTATATTTCAAGGGAAACAATGCTCTATTTTTCATTTTCTAAGATAATTAAGACATAAAGAGGTTTGCATCACACTATTAGTATAAACAATCTTAGAATATGAAATTAAAGGATAACTCTTACATGCTAGATTTGTTATTTTTTTCCAACATTTTTGGTTCATCTCTTAATTAAATATGCATTCCTCAAAAACTTTACATACTTCATATATATTGGGGGAAAAAAAATAGATAATCTGCACATAAAAAATTCATATATTCTAATTTTTTTTATTAACTGCATGTCACATGTGACATTAGAAAATTTAAATCATCAAATTTGGCCTTTCTTAAATTATGCATTCTTATATCATTTGACATACTTGACTAGCACCACACGCTTGTTTCTCAATTGAACTTTATAACATGTCAAAGCTCATTTGAAAAAAAATTCTCAAATATGTTATGAATCATATGAGTGTAGATTGCAAAATATTTTGTTTAAGTTAAACTTTATTTAACAAAAAGAATAGGCTTAAGTTATTAATTACACTTGATGTCATTTTGTTTTTCATTCAGCTGCTACTTAGTAAATACATATTTCTCTTAATCAATTATACAAATATGTAGTTAAGTATTTGAATGTCTAAAACCATTTAAAACATGATTAGTACTTTAAGATGTCACTTTTCATCTGTTACTAAATACATGATTATTAAAAACTTTGACAACATTTGTCGGGTATTATAAAAATTATCCAACCAATTATGTTCTTCTACATATCACGTTGTTAGAATAATATTTAATGTTTCTTCAAATTCAATATCGAAATTACATTTACACGTTGTGTTTGTTAATTTTTTTTAAAGATCCTTTGTCATTTTCAAGTGACCTCATATGAGATGGGGGCATTTTTTTACATATACGATCTATGTCAGATACTAGACACTATTTTTCTTATGGAAATTTTTAATGCTCGAGCTTCGTAATTTATAGTATGTGGAAAAATACTTTCGATTAACTTTAAAAATGTCATACAAATAATACAGCACAATGAATATTATAGTCTCACATTGGTGATTTATTCCAATAATGATGTATAACTCATATGATACTTTTTTTTTGATATATGAAATCAAAATACATGACTTCGTTAGAAAAAATATAGTCCATTCTAGATTGACCATATCTCCTTAAAATTAACGATAAACCTTTCATAATCAAGTTGAACATCTCAACAAAATAAGTCTCACTCACTTGTCTACTATTGAATAGTTAACAACATTTTTAGGATGCGCTGCTTGTACATTTGATTTCATCAGTTGATCTACAAATGAGATTGAACTTGACAATTAATTCACAAGGAAAAAAATTTAACATTTCTTTTTAACTATTTTTATTAAAATAAGCCTTTTCACTATTAGTTTTAGTTAGCTACTAAATTACTCCGTTTTGGGTTGTAACTCATTTTTATTTTGTTTTAATTATTTATGAACATAAGTCATCTCATATATTAAATTTATTTTATATAGTTAATCCAACTTATTTGAGTATTAACACAATTTTATGACAATACATCATTTTTATGGTAAAATGATTAAAAATGTTAAAATTAAATTATTTTTCAAATTAAGAAAAAAAGGATCATCAATTTTAAAATAGTTATGACTCTATAAAATTAAAAATCATACCATCTATTAACATATAATATAGCACTGATTAATGTTCTTTTTGATATCTTCTCAAATAAAATTTAGTTAATAATATACAATAATTGATTATCTCAATTGTTAAATTTAAATATAAATGGACCAATGGAAAAAACTATATTAATAACAACACTTCAAATGATATAAAGATAACTGATTTCATCATAAAAGTTAAGTGATGATTTATCATTTCTATCTCTTTCTTAATCTTTTGGGGTGGAGTGGGGTAGGGTGAGGGTGATTGGGTCTTCTATACACTTCTTATGAATATAATAGTGGTTTCTCTCCTATCCTACATTCCTAATAAAGTCTAATGAGATACTATAAAAAAAATTAAAGTTA